CCCAAAGGAAGGGAGAGAAGGGAGCTGAGAAGGGAGAGAAGAAGCTGCAGTGGAGACTAAGAAGGAAAGAGGCAGGATGGAGCCAAAAGGAGACCTGGAGGAGGCACATGGAGCCAAGAGACACGTGAAGAAACTACACTTGCCTTTTGGTCTTGGACTGGGTGACACCGGCATGGGCGAGAGACCAGTGGGGAGGTGACAATGGTGGTTTTGTAACAGGGTGGTCCCCAGGAAAGGGGGAGGTTCCCTGCCCCACCCAAGGGAGGGTGGAGCTGAGCAAGAAGAGGAGAAGCAGAAGAGACTGAGGAAGGAAGGAGGATGGAGCCAGGAGACATGGAGGAGGCGCATGGAGCCTAGAGACACGTGAAGAAACTGCGCTTGTCTTTTGGTCGTGAACGGGTTGACACAGATGTGGGTGAGACCCGTGGGGAGGTGACAATGGCAGCTTTTATCTTGATGTTGATTTTGCTCTTTTTCTTCCGGGCTTGTCCGGTTGTTTCTGACCCTTTTCTGTGGGTCCCCACTGGAAGATGCTTTAGACTTGTGGCAGGCTTTGGGGCCTTGCTCTGGGCCAATCCCATATGGATGGACTTTTACCCACGAGGGGATGGGTAACTTTGGGTGCTTCATTTAGAAACTAGACTCTGCCTTACCTGTATTGTTTCCTAGTTTTATTAAAGTTCCTTTTCATTAAAGTCTCCTATGTTTTGTGTTGATGCGGCGGATGGCAGAACCCATTTAGAATAGGCAGGTTTGCGGGGTTTGGGCTGCCCCTCTCCCTGTCCTAACAGTTTTTGTCTTGATTTTGATTTTGCTCTTTTCCTCCCAGACTTGTCTGGTTGTTTCTGATCCTTTTCTGTGGGTCCCCACTGGAAGGCGCTTTAGACTTGGGACAGGCTTTCAGGCCTTGCCCTAGGTCAATCCTGTTTGGGTGGACTTTTCCCCACAAGGGGACAGGTAAATTTGGATGCTTGATTTAGAAACTATATTCTTTACCTTTCCTGTATTGTTTACTAATTGTATTAATGTTCCTTTTCATTTAAGTCTCATATGTTTTGTGTTGATGCGGTGGATGGCAGAACCTATTTAGAGCAGGCAGGTTTGTGGTGTCTGGGCTGCCCCTCTCCCTGACCTCTAACAGATTCTTTGTCTTTTCTGTATTGTTTACTAATTGTGTTAAAGTTCCTTTCCATTAAATTCTTAAATGTTTTGTGTCGATGCGGCAAGCAGCTTTGGGGGTTCTGGGGTGCCCCTCTCCCTGCCCTGTAACAGACTGACTACTGACACCTCCTGGATGACAAGTGACAGGGCCCAAGGATGTCGCCAGCTCCCCAATGACATGGTTTCTGTGGTTGAGCCTAGGGTAACCCTGGATGTCACAGGTAAGATATTAATTTTCTGATTGCTATAGGAGCCACTTACTCTGTACTCACCCAGCATTCTGGATCACCTTCCCCTCCTCACAAAATATAATAGGCATGCCTTGATGGCAGACAGACTAGAAAGACTGGAAAGGAGGTGCCCTAAGACAAGAACCTGACTCACAAGGAGGTAGGGATAGAGGGAAATAGCATGACCATTAACTCAGCTGTAGAGGTCATGACCCTTAGACACCAGGGCCTTATCACAAGGCATGAGACCCAAGCAGGATCAGATGCTCTAGGGAGTGGAGCACAGACCTGAGGGGATAGATTTGGAGATTGGGCCCATCCTGGAATCTCCACTCCCCATCCTGGTATCTCCAGTCCCTCTTGGATTCTGCGTGGTTATCCAAAATCAGCAACCAACTGAAGGCTCACAAGGAGTGACCACCCCAAACAGAAGAGGACTGTGTCTGTAAAGTCTCTGCACTGGCTCAGGGCAGCACTCCCTCTGCCCACCTGTGAATGTGCAGGTACTTCTTCTTACCAACTCCCTCCCTCCACAGGGCAGCAGCTTCCTGCCCGCCTGTGACCTGTCAAGGCCACCTGCCTGCAACCACGCAGGCCTCTCTCAGCAAAACCTGCCCCTTTCCCTTTCCCTAATAAACCTGGTCTTTAAATATAACTACTGTCTCTGTCTTGTGGAGAAACTCGCCTGGGAAACTCGCCGCGTGCCACTGACAGGTGTCTGCTGACACCTTTCCCAGAGTGAACCCCAGGACCCCGCTGTAACGCAACCAACCTATTCCAGGTGGGTTTATGAACGGTTCTAGCAGCCACATGTTCCTCGCTGTTGTTTGTAGTCGCCGCTCTCCTCCGCACACTCCACTGCTCTCCACCCTCGACAAGGCACCCCCACCCTACTCCAGGTGCCGCCATCAGGCCTGCGTTCAGGCCTGCAGGGTTCCGTCATCTCATTTAATGGCGGGAGGGCTGAAAAGCCTGATGCTTTTTACCTTACCCTACAATCCACCCCCTCGGGTTTTCTGCCAGACCATCTACATACAGACAATTTTGTTTCTTAGCAAACATCAACAATGCAGCCATGGCCCACAAAAGTAAATAGTATACATCACACTATAACCACAAAATACAATAGAACACAAGTTAGTCCAGGCGAGGTACCAACCTAGTGGCAAAAGACATTTATTGGCACCAGCAGATGATCCACGACATCTGCTGCCGAAGGTATTGCAGCATGCAAGAGGGAACTACCTTATTTAACTCACAATAATCCACCGTCATGCACTAAGAGCCATCGGCCTTCTTCACCGGCCACACCGGTAAATTGTGGGAGCTGTGGGCAGTACACACAATGCCCGCTTTCTCCAGTTCTGATATTGTACCCATAATTTCCTTGTAGCCTCCAGGCAACCGATATTGCTTGGTATTAGTCATTCGCCTAGGGACTGGCAGGTGTATGGGAAGAAGTTTAGTATGTCTCTCACCACTGCCTTTACCATATGCACTCTAAGGTGAAACTCTCCGGCTGTGGTCTCTAGCTATAAGCCACGGAGTACATCCACCCCCAGGATGTACTCCAGGGTGGACGATACATATACTTTATACTCTTTCAGGGGTAATCGCCCAATCCCCAGAGATAGTCTCGCTGCTGTCACCTTGACACTCTGGCCTCCATAGCCATCAATACAAGTAGACCCGTGAAATCTTTCTGGATTTCCATAGAGCAGAGTACATTCTGTGTCTGCCAGAGCTAAAACTTTAGTTTTAGCCAGAGCTTTGCACGTTAGTCGGGGACCAGTGGATGGCAAGCTCCACATGTGGCCTCCGGTCCCCGCCAGTCCCCTGTGGACAGGTTCCTTGGCCCTCACCCTATTTGAAAGCGATCAGGCCATCACCAGAGAATGGGGTTGGCAGCAAGTGATCTTCCAGGCGCAGGGCGCATGCCTGAAGCCTGGAGCTTCCAGGCTCCCCCTGAGCAGCAGTCCTTCTCATGGGCATGAACCTCTGGTCTTCTTTCAGCTGCTGCCATAATTCCAACAAATATAGATTGGACTGTGCGTGTATTTTACTGCTGTCTACACCTGCTCTCACTAAATCTGTCCACATTTGGTTATGGGTGACTTTAATAGGTTCTGTGATGCCAAGAGGCTTCCTTTCCCTCCTTGGCATTCCTTTTGACTTTTCAACAACTACCCGTATTCCCTTCTGAGTTTGAGAGTGCCGGATCTCAACTTTGCCCAAGCTGGCTATCATTGTTGTGACGTTGTGTACCTGACGTCCCACATGGGGTGCTAGAAATGCCATGAGGGATCCAAATGAGGATGAGGGGGCATTCTTTAATACCAAGTCTCTCAGCCCTGCTGTGAAACGCTCGTAGTCAGGACCACAGGTATTCACATTAAACATGGCCTGCCGCATTCCCAATTCACGAAGGACTTGTACCAGCTCGTCATACGTCTGCCATCCGCTTACTGTGTCTGGCACGTCTCCTGCATAAGCCCAGACTGTCCATATGGCAGCCATTATCCATTCCAGGAAGGTGTGGTCGCCCTGGCCATACCGCCGGCTATTCTGTACCCTCTGTCGCAAGGACGGTGTAAAGTCATGGAGGCCAGGCTTTCCATCACTTCTGCTGTGCAAATAATCCCATCCACCCCCAGGTCCCATAAACGTAGCAGCCAGGCTGCCAAGGGTTCCCCTGGTTTCTGGTGGAACTGTTTGCCCAGTCCACCAGTTCCACCTGGGTGTATGGTCGATAGGTAGTAAATTCTGCCATTTGTGGTGGTCCAGCAGACTGACCCCCCTCCCCCCGGGGCCATGAGGGCCACTTGGGGCCCCCTGGGGCCACTTCATTTCTGAGTCACCACCAGGTGGGCCCGGAGCATGGGACCAGCCTCCTCCTCCTCTCCAGAGGAGTCCGGCATCTCCGGGGTCACAGGTTGGTTTGCCATCGCCAGTTGGGACTCGGGCAAAGGGCCAGCCTCCCTCTCCTCCTCTTCTGAGGAGGGGTCTGGCATCTCTGGAGTCGCAGGTTGTTTTCCCACTACTGGCTGCGATTCGGGCAAAGGGCCAGCCTCCCTCTCCTTCCTTCCTGAGACGGAGTCTGGCATCTCCAGAACAGTGGGTTGGTTTCTCCGAACTTCTTCCTCCAGAATCCTCAAACATTGTTGCAGTTTCTACATCTCTTCCCACATCTCATCCCATACTTGCTAGATTCTAGATTGCTCTTTTTGCCTGGACTCTTACAGAGCTGTGAGAAACACCCATCCCACGGCTCCTGCCGCCTTGCGGGCACTGCATGCATTCAGGGTTTCTTCTATTTCATACAGGGCCTGTTCCAACTGCCCTGCCGATCCATCTACCTCTGGCCACTCCTGGGGAGGTGCCCACAGGGCGAGGAGGTCGGCCATCGAGTACCATCTGCTCGTGGCCAGCCACCCGGCAATCCCTCCCCAGGTTCCAAAGGGTTTCGTCTGTGTAGAGCCGTCCTGCTTTGAACCGTGCTTCCGTCTACACCAGTTGTAATGCAAACAACCCATCCCAGGTAGGTTTATGAACAGATTTAGCAGTCACATGCTCTTCAGCGTTGTTTGTAGTCACTGTACTCCTCCGTACGGGGTGGAATTGGGTGATCTCCGGCAGCGTGTCAAAATTAACCGCCTTGGAGACCAGCTGCTGCTTGGAGCCCGGCTAAGAGGATGAAGCGTCTCAGCGAGCCCTGCCCCCGCGACCCGCGACAGTGTCAGTCTGGGATTCCCAGCCAGGCTCCTGGCGGGGACCTGCTTCAGGGCCTGGGGCATGGTTGTGTCAGTGAAGTGGACCTGATCTGCGTGGCCTCGAGCAAACTGAAAAACATGTTCTCTTTGATTAGAGGTCAGGGTGGAAGAGAGGATAACGTGTAATCATGACACCGAAGGTTATAGGTGTAAACTTAGGTAAGTTAACGAATTCTTTGGTGTAGGTAGTGGGGTGGTTAGTCAAAGAGCTGAGAGGCTTTTCAATCTGGGAGAGATCAGACAGAGGGGAAGGATCATGGACTCCAGCTACTCCTTCGGTCCCCACAACCTCCCTAAGGGGACAAAGAGGACGAATGTGAGAGCAGGTGTGGTGGCTGGGAGGTGAAAGGGGGGGCAGGACTGGGGAGCTGAAGGAGGTGAAGACTGAAAAACTAGAGGATTAGAGAATGCAGAAGAGGGGTCCGGAGAGGGCGAAGAGTGAGAGGAGTCTGGAGATTTGGAAAGTACAACTGGTTTTCAGGAGGGAGGGACGGGAGCGCACAAGAAAGCAACTGGACATGAGGGATCTCTGACCATGTTCCATTGCAGTGACAGAGACTGTTTAAGTCTGCAAGGACCATGAAATGGAAAGTGCTATGTCCCGGCCAGTGAGAGCCATTCTCCAATGGCTGTGCAGTGTTGCAGGAGAAGACGAGACGCTGAGGCGCAGATCTGGCCTGAGTCCCAGAGGATCGAGGTTTGAGAGAAGGCATCCCAGAGGGGTGGCCAGGCTCGGCTTGGAATGTGTGGACCCCATGGCTAAGTTGGCTCCTCTCCCCAATGAATGGGGGTACAGACTCAGGACCGCAGCATCCCACGACCTGATCTGACCTATGGGGCACAGGCCCTGAATTGCGGCGCCGAACGACCGGGTCCTGGCCTTTGGAATGGGGGCAGGCGAGCGAGGGGGACGTCTCCACTGCTCGGTTGTTGCCGGACTGGGACACCTGGACTGGACGGGCGTCCCCAAATCCAGAACCAGGAGCAATGGGGGTCGACTGGCGTAGGTCCGCGGTTTATGGACCAGTCGACCAGGATGGGGGGGTGAGGACAGGAGCCAGGTAACCAGGGGTGAGGGCCTCCCAGGAAGGAGGGTCAGGCAGGTGACTCACCCCAAGGATCAAGGCCAGTGGTGGGTGTGAGGCGTTTGAGAGGAGAGGTCCCAGGGATGGGAAGGCGGCTCAGGCGCCAGGGGACACAGCCTTCCGGGTTTCGGGCACCAAGATGAAAGGTTTGGTGCAGTAAAGAAAAGGGGAGCCAGGCCAAACTTTCTCAAAGGAAGGGGAAATTCACTGTGCCCCTGGGTGAGCTTCATGGACCCAAGGTGGGGGTCCCTGATGTCGCGCCCATTGTTGGGGGGAGATGTCATTTCATAGGGTGAGGAGAGGTTAGGCAGGAAAACTGGCTTGGCAGGGGGGGAAACTGGTTTAGGGGAAACAAAGTTGTTTTTTCATGGAGCCGAGTTGTTTTCTCCTGCTTATGGCTTCAGTTTCGGTTTGATGGAATCAAGGGTATTGGTGTCAGGACCATCTTGTTGTTTGTATGTGGGCTTCCCCATTCCTGGCCTTTCATACCAGCCTTTTGTTGATAGGAAAAGGGGCGACGGTTCTTTCTTTGGCTACTTCCTGCTGGACGGGGGCGAAGACCAGGGTGGGGGCTCAGGCCTGGTTATGAGACAGTCTTTGCAGGGACGCGAGGATATGGGTGGAGAAGGAGTTGGTTAAAGGTGGTATGGGACAGTTTTTGGATCCTGTGTTGGATGAAACAGAGTAAGCATGGGGCAAAAAGAAAAAATGAGGAGATTAAGATAAGAAGCCCTATGAGTGGTAATACTTTGCCCGAGGCTGTGCTGATCTGGAATTGCTGGGCATAGACAGAAGAACGGAAAGTGGCTAGAAGAGATGGGATTAGAAACAGAGGAAGGAGAGGGGCCTCCCCGGTGGTGCAGAGGTTGGCGGTTGAGCGCTGGGTTGTGAAGCTGCCCGTAACCTCTACAGCACCAGTTCAATCCCTGGCCTCAAGGCGAGGGTCCCACATGGCAGGCAGACCTCTCCTGCCGCCCACTGCTCCCCTCAGCAGTGTGCTTCGTCAAGTCTGCCTGTTCTGCTTTTCGCTTTGTCTCTGGTGAGTTCTCTCACCCTCCTGTGCTTCTGACTGTACCCAGTGCTTGCATAAATAAATCTTTAAAAAAAAAAAAGAAACAGAGGAAGGAGAATCAGAGGGCCTCTACTTTATAGGCAGAGTGGGATGTGGACCAGGGACACATTGATGCATACCCGAGTTGGGCCCATGTGCTCGCATACATACTGCTTGTCCACAGGGACCGGTTTGACACTGGACAGCTGATGCCAGGACGTGTTGCCCAAGACCTTGACAGCCATTGGTGTAGTCAGGAAGATCGTGTGTGGACCCATCCACTTTGGCGGAAGTGATTTTGGAGAGATGGCTTTCAGAAGAACCTGGTCTCCAGGGTACAGTAGGTTGACAGGTGCATCAAGGGACAGTCACAGGTTGTGGCAGACAACGGTCTGCGTGTTCTTGGAGCAGCTGTCTGAGCAAAGAGAAGTATGAAAAATGTCCAGCTAATGGCGTAGGTTGGATGGGGAGTTCATGGTTAGTAAGAGGAGGTTTGCCATACATCGGTTCAAGGGGGCTCAGGAACAAGGGGCCACAGGTAGTGGCTCGGAGGTGCATTAAAGCCAGTGGAGCAGCTCCACCCAGGATTTGCGCAGCTCAGTGGAGAGTCTGGTTAGGTGGTCTCTGGTAAGACCAATTACCCATTCTACCTTACCAGAGGATTGCAGTCAGGAGGGAATGTTTAGTTTCCAGGTGATGCCCAGGAAGGAGACCTGTGGAGTAATCTTTGAGATAAAGGCAGGTCCATTGTCCAACTGGTGATGGTGTCCACCATAGTGAGAAGAGGGTGTTATCTGCATTAGGGAGTGGAACACCCGTGAGGCCTGGCAGGATGGAGAGTCGAGGGTTGGGAGAGGGAGATGAGAGGGTCTTTGACAGAGTAGAATCTAACAGACAAGAGGGTGATGGAAGGGAGAGAGCCTGGTGAGTGAGTAAGTACTGGAGCCGATGTGGAGAACTAACGTTTACATGTTGGCCCAGTGTGGGTTTTAAGGCCTGTCTAGTGAGACGAGCAGCTGCCGCAAGTGCGTGCAGGCAGAGCTGCCATCCTCTTACAGTGGGATCCGTTTGTTTAGAGAAATAAGCAACTGGTCGCTGGACAGCCCAGGTTGCCCAGAACCCCTAGAGCAATGCCCTGTTGCTCATCTGTCAATAACAGGAATGGCTTTCCCAGGTCTGGGAGAGCGAAGGCTCATCTCAGAGAGCTTTGTCTGGATAAAGCAGAGAAAACAGGGTGTAGAAACAAAGAAAAGCATAATCATGATCACTGGGCCTACTAGGGGCAGGATCCATGGCATTAAGGGAGAGTTGGTCCACATTTGGATGTCCTGGCCCCAGCTTCGGCTGACGTAGTATCGATCAGAGGGGGCTTTGCTGGTCAGATGAGCAAGCCCATGAATGTGTTGGAGGAGGGGGAGACACCTTAGTACACATGATTTCTCACCAAAATCTCTCTTAGACCTTCAACACTTTCTTTTGCTTGCTTTCTTTCTAATGCCATTTCATTTTACCCATCCTGCTTTACATTATCTTAAGGCCCTTCGGAATATCCCTCTTCCATACATTTCTTTTTTCAAACACAAATACCTCACCTCACTTGCATTTACCAGACTTAGCAAAACCTTAGTTTTATAAGGAAATTGAACAACATCTAAACAATGATGAAAAAACACAAATTTAAGGTAGATAGCCCCTGTAGCTTTTCGTTCCTGTACCCAGTGACTTAATTGGCAGAGAATGGTGCGATATTATATTTCCAATTTGGCTAAGGTCACCCTGCCGTGTTTGAATCCAGGGAGGAGGAGGGGTGGGTGACCTTCTGGAGAGGATTTTTAAAAGCGGAAATTCCAGGTGGGTTGACACTGTGTAAGAATCCCAAGCTGCAAAAGCTTGAGATGACACTGGAACACCTAGGCGTGCTCACTGCAGAACTGAGATTGGTGTAGGAAGATATGCGGATTTTCCAGCTGAGCAGGTCGTGGTGGAGTAGGGCTGGTCTGTGAATAAACTCTGTCCGCCTTGAAGAGTCCTGTTTGGATTCTAATATACTGGTCCCTGAGTCTTTCTTAAGGGGAGCTGGAGAGCCTCTCTATCTGCTCCTTGCAATCTGCGCGTTTTACCACCTGGACCCAAGTCTTTGCAAGAGCTCCTGCATCCTCTATGCCATCCCTGTGCCCAGGATAGAGCAACAAGTCTCTCCCAGCAAGGGGGCACTATGGTCCTCAGGGAACTGAGCCTATAATGTGGGAGAGAGGCCCAGGGTTTCCCGCCTCTGGCCCTGGGGCCACCCACACAGCCTCATATCCCTCCTGGGTCCCTGTACCTGCTCAGCTCTCCCAAACCCCTCCACACCTCACCACTCACCTGCTCTGCTCCCCTCCAGGTGTTTCACCAGTTCCGTGGCCCTCCTGGCCCTTCACCTGCTCTGCTTCAGGGACATCTGTGCTCCAGGGACATCGGTTTTGCCCAGATTTCTGTGCTGCAGTCCCGTGGGTCTCATGCTGCTCCTGGCCCCTGTGACTGGGCCCAGCCCCCGAGCCTCTCCAGAGTACACCTCCTGTTCATCATGGCCACTGAGTGGTTGTGCTTTGGGGGTGGGGAGGCTTTTTGCCTGGTGTGGTGTTATTTTTAATCTTTGTTGCCTGGCAATTCGAATGCTGCACAGCAGCAACAAAATTTCAGGATAATTTCTAATACCCTGTCTCTGGCCCTGATGATTGCTGAAGGGGCCACTGCACTGGTAGGCCAGCCACGTATTGGGGGAGGTCTTAGGGTGGTGCTGGAGGGCTGGGGAGCTGGACTGATTATGTTGGCCCTGCTTTCCTGGTCCCTCTCCAGCTGGGGGCCTGTCTCAGTGGTGCTGCCGTGCTCCCCTGCATCCTCCAGCTGGAGGACTGACACCGAGGTGCTGTTGTGCTCCCCAGCGTCCTCCTGCTGGGGTCCGGCCACTGAGGTGCTGGTGTCCTCCCAGGCATCCTCCAGCACTGGGCCTAGTGCGGAGGGTCTGCCCATCGGGGCATCCTCTAACAGGGGGCCTGGCCCTGCGGAGGTGGTATGCTTCTGAGCATCCTCCAGCTCAGGGACTGTGGCGGAGATGACCCTGTTGACCGGCGTGTCATCCTTTCCCCTCTTTTGGACTTCCTGCTTTCGCAGGATACCTGGCCTTCATGTATTCCCCAAAATCTCAGGCTGCGGGGGGGGCATCCTTTCTGCTCTTTTGCACTGGGTGCTTTCGCAGGATACCCGGCCTTGGGGTATTCCCCGAAACCTCAGGCTGCGGGGGGCAGTCCTTGGAATCGGGGTCACCGGCGTCCCGGAAGGTGACGCACTTTGGCACCCGGAAGGTGACGCGCCTGGGCCGCTGCTCCCACTCCTCCTCATAGTCCTCCTCCCCCTCCTGCTTCCTGGAGCGGAGGATCAGGTAGGTGGCCATGACCTCATCATACTTGTTAGCGTCAATGGCCTCCCGAATTTCCTGCCTCTCGTAGCCCAGGCGCTCCATAACTTTGGTTATGGCCGGGTCCTGGGGGCTGAGCCACGGCTCGCTGAAGGGCAGGAGTTCCTTGCTAGTTTCTGCTACCCAGGCGTGCTGCTGGATGCTCTCCAGGGTGCTGCGCCTCCAGGGGTCCCGTGCCAACATTTTGTCCAGCAGGTCCTGGCACTGCACCATGAGGTAGTTGGGCAGCTGGACCCACCCGCCCAGGACGCGCACCCTGATCGCCCCGAGGTTGGGCCCCCTGAAGGGCAGTGTGCCGGTCACCATTTGGTAGAGCATGACGCCCAGGCTCCACACGTCCACCTTGGGGCCGTTGTACTGCTGGCCAAGATAGACCTCGGGGGCGCTGTATTCTGGGCGACAGCAGCACGTGCTCAGCGCCCGGGTGAAGTCCTGGATGCTGAGCTCAAAGTCCGCCAGTTTGACTTTTCCCTCTCCGGTCAGCAGAATGTTCTTGGGCCTCACATCCCGGTGCGCGATGCCTTTGGCATGGCAGTAGCTGAGGTCCGCGAGGATCTGCTGAAAGAGCGGGCGGGCCTCGCTCTCCTCCAGGGGCCCACGCCTGCTCAGGTAGTCCTACAGGTCTTCCCCCTGCACGTACTCCATGACGAGCTGCAGCTCCGGCCCGGTGTCCACCACCTGGAAGAGCTCCACGATGTTGCGGTGGTGAAGGGCCTTCATGCACCCCATCTCGCGGGCCAGGAGGCGGAGGTCCGGCAGCTCGGACTTGCGGACGCCCCTGATGAGCACCTTAGTGCCCGTGAGCGCGTGCAGCGCCAGTGTCACCTTGGCATGGGAGCCCCGCCCCAGCTCCCACAGCGCCAGGTAGTTTTTCCCTTGACGTCACTGGGACATAGCGCCTATGCACTTGGACTACGCTGACTACCCTCACCAGCCTTTACTGTGCTCACAGCCCTCGCGCTACCTCCGCTGACAGCTGACTCTCCTACGATATTAACAATTGTACTATTAATCTAGTATTAATAGTACTCAAAAAGTATTCACTAACCTCACTAAATACTAACAATGCCAACTTAACTCTACCAATACTAACTTCACTCAGCTTACTAGCAATACTAACTACACTACAAATAAATGAAACTACACAAACAAAAAATGACAAATGAGATGTAAATGTAAAAATATGATTAAAAACAAACTAATTAAAAACTAACCACTAAATTTAAGAATAAAACAGAACAACAAAGACCAATTGAACAAACAACAGAACAAACAACAATTAGAAACTAAAACCTGAAAACAAACAAACAAACCAAAATAAAAACCCAGAGAAACGACAAAGGGGAAGAAAGAACAAACAATGAAACAAGAACAGAAGGGAAAATGGGGGAGATCATTCGAAAAATAAAAATCAAAAAACTAAAAAATGAAGTAAGAAAATAAAGAAAAGAATAAAGAAAAAAAATAAAAGCCAATAACAAAACAATAAAGGAAAATAAAAAAACAAGGAAATAAAAGGAAAAAGAAAAAGTAGAAAAAGTATAAGCAAATACAAAAAAATCAAGGAAAATAATGGAAAAAAACAAAGAAAAATAAAGTAACTAAAATAAATAGCCTAAACAAATAACTAAATAAATGAACCAAAAGAAAACCAAATACCACAAAACTCGCTCTCACTCTCTCTGTTGGCGTCCGGAGTGCACAGGTCACTGTCCAGAGCTTCCCGGCTCCTGAGGACACAGGCGCAGTCCGGGCGGGCCTGATGGAGGCGGTGCCGGTGCCGTCACAAGGGTTCTTTGTGGCGTCAGAGCCAGAGGCCACAGCCATTGGCAGAGGGAACCCCCAGCGGTTTCTCAGCCTTAACGAAAAAGCTGCCGCTTAACGGCAACCCTTGGAATGCCCGAGAGGCCCTTTCATTTGTCCTGAGCAATCCCGTCCTGGGTTTTGGCTTTTCCAGGCGCCCCCATCCTGGCCCTGCCTTGTGCAGATACTTTACTGTCGCGCTCACACTGTGGGGAGAACAGCAAACAGGGGGCGCAGGCGGTTGGGCGCGCGCTGGGGAGCTGTCCACAGCCTCTGCCGCGCCCGCGAGGGCCCACGTGGCGCGCAGACCCCTCCTGCCGCGCCCGCTGCTCCCCTCAGCCGTGGATTTCAGTCAGTCTGCCTGTTCTGTTCCCGGCTCTGTCTCTGGGGAATCCTCTCACCCTCCCGCGCATCTGGCCTGCACCCCAGTGCTTGTATAAATAAAATAAATCTTTAAAAAAATTTAAAAAAAAAAAAGGAGGCACAGTTACTAGTGTTGGAGTGAACTAGTAAGGTTTAAATTCTAAAATTTTCAAGAGGTAATTTCAGGATTCTTTTTCAGCCTGTCTTTCTTTTTGGGGGCTAAAATTGTGTCATGGAGTCTAGTTTAGTAGAAAAATAACATTAAATAATAATACTACATACCCAATAGTTCTTTTGAGAAGGAATAACTAACAAATCCAATAGGTCATAACAATACCAATGTGCTTAAAAACTAAACAAAAATGTTAGAAATTCAGAATACTTTTTTTTAGGTTGCTTTTAACACTTTAGCCAAAATAAAGTGATTTAATAGTGATAAATATCAGGAAGTATAAGTATCATTGTTTTAATTCTATATATATTACATATATCAATACGTGCACTTACAAATGTATTAATATCTGAGGAAGGAGATTTAGAGAGGTTAATCATTTTTTCCAAGGTTGCCTATATATGATATTCACTCAAAAGAAACAATGACTAATAATTGAGAAACTACACTGTACTTTTGTGAATTGATAGTGTTCTAGTGATCAGGATATAGAGAGAATGTTGTGGTAAAACTGACTTTTCAGTGGCAGGGGAAAAAAAGCAATATAAATAAGTTTTAAAATATCCAACAGAGAAATAATAAATGGTGATAGGATCTGTACAAAGGATTTAAAGAAACCAACTGAATTTTCAATACCATTTAGGATAACATCAAGATATGAAACCCTTAAGGATATTTTTAATAAAATGTATGTATCTGTAAAGCTATGAAAACATTATTCTTTAATGGAAATTATAATACTTAAGTAAATGACAATATGAACTCTATTTACAGACCAGGATGCATACAGCAAAGTTTGAGAGAAAGCACAATTGCAGAGGGGAGCACAGAGAGGCAGAAATGACTGAATCACCCTGCAGTAAGAAAGGTGTTTGTTCTTTTGGTGATGAGTTTAATGTCTTTTTTTAATGGTGGTTTCTTTCACTCTATAGAAACTTTTTAGTTTAATATTGTCCCATTTGTTTATATTTGCTTTCATTTCCTTTGCCAACGTAATTCAATTGACAAAAGTCGTCTCTAAGGCTGATTAAGGAACTCAGTCATTTTTGTTTTTCTGTGTATTTTGTGATTTCAGAACTTATATCCATGTCTTTATTCCACTGTTGGTGGAAATGTAGACTGTTTCCCTTCCTAGAAAAGTAGGATAGATATTTCTGAAAATACTAAAAATAATTCTACCTGATGATCCAGCAATCCCATTCTTAGATATCTCTCTGAAGTATACAAAAACACTAATATGAAGGGATATGTGCAGTCCTATGTTCATTGTAACAGTATTTTCAATACTAAAGTGATGGAAGCAACCTAAGGGTCCAACAACAGATGAGTTGGTTAAGATACGGCGCACAACACATGAATACTACTCAGCTACTAAAAAAAACCCCACTGGATTAAATTGTGCTATTTGCAATAATATCGGTAGGACTGGAAGAGACTATGACTCACAAAGAGTTAGTTAGAAGAAAGGTAATACCAGAGAGAGTAAATGGTTTTCTCACAGACAAAACTATAGCCTAACTCGAAAATAAAACAAAACTCTCTTACTTAGAGACCAATTTTCCATCACCTACAAAAAAATTTATGGGCACAGAATGACCTACATCTATATCAAACATAGTGTTTTTCATTAGACTGTTATTTCATTGCAATCTGGTTCACTATGCAAACTTACAACATAAAAAGATAATGAAGAGCTATTTATTAAAAGAGATGGATGAAAGAGATCTGAAAAGTATTATCCTTCGGGGCTACCATGTGAAACCCTGCCATTTGCTATTTTCCATTTTGTTATAAGAAGAACGAAAGGTTAAATATATTCATATTTTAACTTTGACAGTTACCAAAAAGACTCTTTTCAATTTCAGAGTCACTTAAAAACTAGAAAAGCTGTTCATATCAACCATGCATACCAATTAATTTAAATCTAAAAGTTGCCTGTTACATGATTCATTGATCAGCAAAGACATTCATTTTATATTAAATTCTATATGGCCAATATGGCAGTGAGAAATTATTGGGAAAGGGGCCTCGCTGGTGGCTTAGGGAGTAAGTCTCAGCTCTGTCACTGCTATGGCCTGAGTTCAATTTCCCACGAGGGAGCTAAGCCACATAGGGTGCAGCAGCCTTCTCCTGTCATGCCTGCTGCTCCCTTTAGCAGTGTATTTCAGTACATCTGCCTGTTCTGCTCCCCACTTTGGTGAATCCTCTCAACCACTGCACCTCTGGTCTACACCCCAATTCTTCTATGCTTAAAAAAATACATTGGAAAGAGGTGGCAGTCTTTGTTTGGAAAGTCTGCAAAGCAGATCAAGGAGAAAAGCCTTTAAATGAGAAACTAAATGAGAAAAGCCTTTAAATGAGAATAGTACAGAGCATTATGATGAAGGGATAAACATGGTAACTCAAACTAAAGCATAAACTAACTGAAGTGTAAACATTTTGAGAATAAATCAGTCAGCTAATTCTGTGACATTACATTCATTTATCAACTCTTAATCAACTTGTTTCAGTGTACTTCTGCTACATTGTCTAGTCCACAAATCACTATACAACAGAATACAACTTAAATACATGAAGGGAAACTCCATTATGGAAGTTTGAGGATGGCTCACAGCTATTCCATGCAAATACAGTTTGGGGAACCTCACCTCAGGAAACCACAGGAAACAGGTCTTGGGCCCAAGTCTCTACAAGGGTGGTGCCACAATATGCCCCCAGTGGGGCAGAGAAGTGTGCATGCATGAGCCACAAATCCATGTTCCTCCTTGGAACCCGGGTCCAGGTTAGTTATATAGGCTTATGAAACAGGACTCGGGCCCAATTCCAAAATGTGCTAGGGATCAAACCCATGGCAATGCAACCCTGCGTTTCGAATTACATTGTGAGTGCTCCTGCATCAGGAAATCATCTCCTCTTTTTGCCACCGTGGAGGACACTTGATTTTCCTAGGGCTACAAGACTTAAGGAGTGATGTATTACTATCTCATCTATTTCTTTCTCTATCGCTGTTGCCTATTGGAATGGCATTAAAATTAGCCAAATCAGACTGGAAAGGAAAGGAAAACAAAGAAATAACTGCAGGGGACATAATTTGAGGAACATTTTCCAGGACATAATTTGAGGAAATTCAAGGATTTTCTTTATTATTGATACAGATGTTGGCTATATAGATCAATTGAGGAGCAAAGAGAATTAGAAATTTCCTCCACATCTGAGG